AAAACGTGTTTTAAGCTAAAGTCTATTTGTCTTAAGGCTGCATTGAAGCCGTGGACGTTTTCCACATTCTTCATAAGAAAACTGTAATGTAAAATTGCCTGACAATGTGCCTTTTGGAACACCTTTAAATCTAGACTTCTGTTTTTTTTTTTTTTTTTTTTTTTTTTTCAAAACACACTTTACCATTTTCCAAATTCCTTTGTTTTGCTGAAAGGAAACGTTTTGGGTCTATTTTAACAAAGGCTCAAGATCAGCAGTGGTAAACACCTTATCCAGGTCAACAAGGCTGTGACATGCTGCCTGATGACTAAAGACATGAGGTGTCATTTGTTAGCATTAGAGCTGGTGTTTCTTTAATACCATGAGGTTAAGAAAATTATACATTGTCAGTTTCAGCAAAGTATTACCTTAGATGTGTGCTGACTTCAGATTTCAGAAAAAGCTATAATAGACAAGTTTGATTTTAAGTAAACAGTTGAGCTGAATTTGTTAAAATATGCTTAAAGAGAAATTAGAAGGATTGAGATGTTCTGCAATGGAATATTTGACCAGTTAACTGCATTTTAGATTAATTAGGAGTTAATTTACTTAACTAGATAAGTTAAGATTTGAAAACAACACATGAAAGGAAGGGCTCAGACACATTTATTCTAGTCTTTATGTTTTTAGTAAAGGGCGTTTACAGCAGTAGTGTGTTTAATCAAAGGCTACATTCCCTAAGGGTTTTATCACCAAGAGAAAGTCAGTTTCCACTGCAACTATCTGCTTAGAAAAAACTGAGAAAATTAAATAATCTTTGCTCTTCTTTAGCTGTCGAGGAGGAAAACCAGGAGCTTACTACCCCTGATGCAAAGCGAACACATTGTCAATCTCCATGTGTCTCCGCTGACCTCCAGCTGCCACCATTCAATCCTAAAAACCCTCTTGGTGAGAATTGATTTGTTGAAAAAAAAAAAAGAAAAAGAGAGGCAGCATTTGGAAAAGTGAAGTCATAGTTACTATTTTCATCTCTTTTATTCCTCTACAGGTGAGGAATTTGTGGTTCCCAAATCTGGATTTTTCTGTAACCTCTGCTCCATGTTTTATATGAATGAAAACTCCGCCAAGAAAATCCACTGCAGCAGCCAGAAACACTACAACAACCTGGTGGTACGCACAAAGGAGAAAGACGTTCACACTCAGAAAATGAATTCTTGGTTCATTCTTGGTTACTCATTTTATTCCTTCTTCTTTCTCAGAAACATTACCAGAAGCTCAAACAGGAAACTTCAGGAACAACATCGCAAAGTATCCAGGATTAGCTCTGACTGATCAACTACACCTAATATTTCTATAAGATATGAAACCAGAGGTTTACCTTCTGCCATGTTTTCAGACATCTATGTCATGATGGAATCGATTAGTGGAAAAGAGATGTTTTGGAGATCATTTTTCTTAATTTTTTAAGATCTTAGAGATGTTTGTTGCTCTTTAGTTTTATATGTCTGTATTTATCAAGACTTCCAGACTTTGTTAATCCTGTTGTTTTAATTTGATTTAATTCTTTATTTTATTCCTTGGTATTCTTAATTCTTTTCCTTAGCTTATGCATTACATTTATTTCTTCCTTACCCCTCCCAGTGTCTTTTTCTTTATTCCTAAGGTTATTTTTGCTTTATATTATCCTTTCTTCTTCCACTGTCATTGTCCTGCATTTATTCCCTCCTTTTTCCTTCTATATAACATCCTTTATTTCTCCTCCATTGTTAACCACCTTGTCTTCCTTGTTCCTCTGCACTGCCTTGCGTGCTACCACTTGTAGCGTTCCTTGTTCATTTCATAATTTCAGAGGTTCCATGTTTAAAGTCTGCCAATTCCAGAGATATCAACTGTATATTCAAGGAGAGATTTAGTGTTCCACATCTCCACCTGAAATCAAAGGATCAAGAACATGAGGAGCTTGAGTTTTTAAAAGTCTGGAGGTTTAAATGTGAAAGATTTGCAAGAACCCTGAGTAGAGGTACCAAAGTCCAGCTAGTTTTAATATATAAATGAAAAAGCTGAACAAAAGATATATGATAGGTTCATCTTAGGAAAGTAGTGAAAACAACTTTTCCACTTAAAATTTTCCTCTAGTTTACCTTATATTACTGTTTTCACTTTGTTTTTGTTCTACTTTTAGACTAGATTATTTATGTAATCTGATTATAAAAAGTTTAATGATCAGTTGAGGTTAGTATTATGTTTTATCTGGTGTACATGGATACATTAAAAAAGGATTTTCTGTGACATAATCAGTTACTGTTGTGTTTATTTTGTACGGTGGAC